ATTTGAACATTTAATTTGGAAGTGGGGTCCCCAGCCGTGCCGTGTGTCTTCCTCCAATGTCAAATCCCTTCGTTGCAACTTGAGCACCGCAATGGCGCCGAAAAAGTTCGCTATTTAAAATGTAGACATCGATCAGTCTCAGCGATCCATCTGCGTCAGCCACCCCATCATCGTCACCATGTGACGATAATTTCCTTTCTTATGCACTTCTTGACACTTTTTCTAGTTCTTCAATTCTGAGCTACATGTAGATAAATGTTGCACCGTCACAGAAGTATCGTTGGAGTCCGAACTTTCCGAACCGCGATCGATGTTATTTTTTCTGAGACGAAGTTTTGCTTCTTCGGATATTGGAGTCATATTCTTCCTTTTTTGTTCCTTCCTTCTCTAATAATAATTCTGATAACAATTTTAAGGAGCGCTAATTTTTTGATGTGTCACACACGGTGTACTAATATAGAACAGGGAGCTACAGCTCCCTGTATAGAACGATCACAGAGACGTGCGACACAGGGCGTGCGTGCGTTGTTTCCGTTGCTAAGTAGGCCAACTTATGCAAATTAGGTCAGTATTTATTATTTGCGCTCAAAGCCGATTATCCTGAAATCAAAGTGAGCGGTCTGCTGTTATAAACCACCGTCCCTTATACACATATCCTAACTTTTTTGTTAAAATTGCCTTTTTTGGGTGTACTGGTTACTACTTTGAGTGGGAAACACATCCATTGCATGCAGATAGACTAATGCCACCAAAATAGACAATAAACAAAAAATGTATAAAATAGTGACTGTTATGTCTACTACATCCTTAAAATAAAATATTCCATCCTAATCAAATCTAGGTCAAAGGGTCAAATTGCGTGCATATAATTATAGATAGTTAAAAACTAAATATACTTGAATGTTTGACGGCTATTGAACGTTTGTGAAACCAGAATAAAAAAGGTATATAATGGCATTTGTTTACAATATTGTACCGGCTCTAGTATTGGAAAGTCACACAGATGAAGTTGTTCGCGAACGATATAGATTTGAAGAGCCGTTCAGAATTTTCTTTGTATATCCCCAAACATTTTGACTACTCCTGTGCCGGTGACCAGTGTTTGGGCGAGCGGTCGGTGTTTTCAATAAGCGAGCGAGAGAAAAAAAACGGTAAAAATGTGGTCGTTTTCGGTCGGAAAATACAGTGCGGTCGGAAATTAAGCGATCGTTTAAAAAGGGAGAAGTGAGGCAAAATGAGTACTGTGGTTCAAGTGATATTAGCATATTTCTCATTTAGTTTTAACTCGTACAATATTTATTCACTCACTCACTGTTTACCATAGCCAGAACGCTGTACTGTCTTCACTTTCAGGTTAGTTCTTCCGCAACCAACAACGTGATTTTTTATTTATGATTTCGAGAAATATAACATGAATCGTTATGGCATTCATAACACAACACCTCGCCATATTTCAACTTTTAAGTAGTCAGTTAACAAGGTCTTTCATAGTAGCATTTCTATGGGATTGACGTACTAGCATGAATGGGTTCAATTATCAGTGTTCACTGATGACGTCATTTGACTGGCCCTCTAGAGGCGAAATGACGCCAGGAAAAGCGGACGTTTGTCGTCTGCTTCACAGCCCGTTTTATACCCGATATTTAGGGCATTTCGCTGCACATATAAGTTATTTTT